TGAATTCCAACCAGTTCTCCCTCCCAACAAAATAAATCTTATTTTTTTCCTCTGAAGTCAGCAAATAAATTAAATTCAGAGCTACAGTTTCAGAATTAAATATTGACTCTCGTGATTCCAGAACTAGAAGCCATGCATTGTCAAAGTGGATTCCTGGTAGAGAAAGACATCACTATACAAGCAAATTCTAATTTGTCTTTACATCAACATGACTGAAATGCATTACAGTAATCATTTCAAGTATCATTTTAGCCACTCTCAAATGCCACCTTAGAGCACTGTTCCTTGGAACACTCGCTGGAATCATCTTAGAAACTTGCTCCTGGTGTTCCTTGGTAAGGTTAGGGAACAAGCAAACTGCAGCCTGGGAGACTAGAAGAGTAGTCTGAAGCCACTAGTTAGTTACCCCAGATCAAGGAATAAGGAATAGTATACAGAACACGAAGAAGGCACATAAAGATAGAGGAATCTTTGATGTTTTATCAGTATAGTCACTGTACTTTAATTCCTTTTATTTAAACTCTAGATCAAATACAAAGTGATTCTAGTTATAGATTTCATACTTTCCTATAAATCTTGGTATCATCAACAGGCCAATCTACCTTGTTTTTTCCCAAGTTGCACAAGGGGATACCTAGACTTTGGCATACTTTTGATGTTTTAAGAGGCCATTGCTGTCTGGCCCAAGTATGATTTCATAGGAGTGAAAACAGAGCAGAGAGGGGCTATCCCTGTCCTTTTGATCCAACACTCCAGTTGGGAGTCAGAGAGCTCAGGCCTTTCCTGTAGTATGAGTTCTATTTGGTATTAATAATAAAAACCCAGAGACAGATACTGGGTTTAAAGCTGAAGATCAGAAAAACAAAGAAGTCAGCCACTAGAGAGTTCTCACCCCTACCAATGCTCAGACCCAAGGGGCGATCCACCAAACCTCAGGCTGCTCCCGACTGTATGGCTTCTTAGACTGCACTGTCTCCACCAAATCTCAGACTGCACTGAGCTCTGTCTCCTCTCACCTTACTGTCCTCTCTAGTGTTGGGATTAAAGGTGGGGGTTCCCAAGTGCTGAGATCACCTTTGTGTGAGCTGTTTCTCTTGTAGACCAGATCAATTTCGTGTAGCTCAGTACTGGGATTAACTAGTGTGGCTAGCTTTGCGCTCTGATCTTCAGGCAAGCTTTTATTTGTTGGATCATAAACAAAATATCACCACACTTTCCATTCTCAGGGTTGTTTCATCAAAGTTGTTTTCTACTCAGGAAAAGTGTGAGGAACTCATTTGAAACAATTTAAGGGCAAAAGCTATGCTTGGTGTGCTATCAAGACATTAAACCACTTTATCTTTGAAAACATCATAATGGAAGTATTCCAAGTTACCACAAAATAAAACAGTACTCTTTTGCCCTGTATATTAATTCCAGGGTCACACAACTAAATGTGTAGTCTTGATAGTGTCAGTCTGAAGGCTTGCAACCACAAGTCCCGTACCCACTGCTGTACCATTCCTTGAACTAATGCACTGGAAAAGTTGCTTACACTGAAGCATCATTCTAGGGAACCCTGGTGCTCTTGCAGAGCACCCAGGTTCGGTTCCTAGCACCCACAGGTTGGCTCACAACCATCTGTAATTCCGGGGGCCTTCATGAGCAGCAGGCAAGCATGTGGCGCACATACATACCTGCAGGCAAAAACATACATGCAAGCAAATCATAAGGATATGGTTTGTACACAAAGCAGTAAGGATTTACATATTGTGACTTTCTTTTACTCTTGAATCCATGGTTCTTAAGCAGTAGGGTCTATGTATGTTGTTAGGCATAAAACCATAACTACTCAGTCTTTACTGAAATATGGAATTAGGCAATTTGTTTTGAAAACTATATACTTCTTACCAAATTTCCATTTTTAAATTTTTATCTTTTTTTTTGTGTATGGGTGTTTTGCTTGAATGTATGACTGTGTACAATATGCATGCCTGCTACCTACTGAGACCTTCAGAGGTGTTGAATCCCTCGAAACTGTGGTTTGGGACAGTTTCGAGCTCCCATGTGGGCACTGGAAATCAAACCCAGATCTTCTGAAAAAGCAGCAAATGTTCTTAACTGTTGAACCAAAAAAAAAAAAAAAAAAAAAAAAGGGTAAGCTGGGGCTAAAGAAATGGCTCTTGGTGCTCTTACAGAGGACCCCCATTTGGTTCCCAGCACCCACATATCGGATCACAACCACCTGTAACTCCAGTTCCAGGTGATCAAATGTCCTGGCACCAGGCATGCACGTGGTAATAATACATACACTCAGGTAAAACACATGCAAGCAAAACACTCAAACACATAAAATATAATCGTCAAAAAAGTGGCTTTTGCCGTTTTTTAAAATGCAATAGCTACACAGTGGCTATAACAACCATAACACTCTTCCCAACTTCCATCCAATTTATTAATACTACTTTGCAAAATAGAGCATTCCTCTTTTTTTTAAAGTTTTTCTTTTCTTCCCCTTTTTCTGTTTTGAGACAGAGTCTCACTGCATAGCTCTGGCTGTCCTGAACTATACAGACTGAGATCTGCCCACCTCTGCCTCCAGATGCTGGGATTAAAAGGCCTGTACCACCACCCTGGCTGGGCAATCCCTTTCATTAACACCTAGTCAGCAACAGGCTTCTTGCTTGCAGAATTAATTTGCTATAGTTTATTATCATCCAAGGCTAATCCTATAACTCAGTGCAAAGTATTTGACTCCTTATTGGAGAAGGCTGCTATTTAAAAACTCTTGTTTTTAAATGATAGTGCTACTTACATAGTCCTCAGAGGTTTCCTGGTTCTGTACTATAGAAATTATTTGTAACCTAAGTTTGAGAGTTCTGAGTGCTTACTTATTATTTTGGGGTTTGGGAGAGAAGGTATCATGTCGTACAGGTTTAACTTCCAGTTGCTAATCTTCTTGACTTGACCTTGAGTGATAGGAGTATGAGTGTGTACCATCCCACCTGGCTGACAGGTGTATGATTAGAAGCACTATTTCCTGGATTCTGAATAAACTGTCACAGGTCAAATTATCTTTAAAATTAAAAAAAAAACTGGGTGTGGTGTATACCTTTAGTTCCAGCACAGAGACAGACAGTTACGTGTGAGTTCAAGGCCAGCCAGGTCTACATAATGAGTTGTAGTACAGTCAGGGCTGTGTAATGAGACCCTATTAAAAACAAACAAACAACTCCCCATAAATAAAATAAAATGAAAATTCCTTTGTATATGCAGCAGGCTACTTGATGATTTAGTTATGGGTGTCTATAAAAGGGAAGAATGCTGTTTGAATTTAAAGCATTTCTGTGTATACAATGACTTTGAAATTATGCAGTTTCACGTCAGATACAATGATGTAGACCTAGCAGAAAGACCCAATAAGAGCTCCAAAGACCCTTAATTTTCTCATGTGTCCATCATGACAGAACACCCCACTTCTCGGACAGTGCTTCACTCCTTTACAGGGTCCCCTCCCCCCCTTTGACTATTTAAAGTTAGGAACAATCTTCGGAACTTAGCGTCTTTCCTCAGGTCTGAGACACAAAATGAAAGAGACCCATTCCTACAAATGCTCCCTTAGCAAATAAAATTTGGATTTATTCCTTTCTAGCATCCAAGTGAATGGCAGGGGCAATAAGCAGATAGATGAGGAACAAAGACTCTGGCAAAAGCAAGCAATAAAACCAACTGCCTTCTTAACAATCAGCGGACAAAACAGAGGGTTATTTTGTACAGTATCAGAGGATAATACAATCTAGGTTGGAAGGAATCTTACAGGCTATAAAACTTTGTCTTTTGATTTTCATGATTCTGAAGATTTGTCAAGGGCATTGCCTTTAAAATTCAGTTTTGACCAAATAAAGCCAAAACTGACTCTAAAAAATAGTCTGCATTGCTCGGGTTTCCACAAGGTTAAAAATGGGCTAGTATTGGGATTTTTTGGACTTTGCAAGTTCCTCTTTAACCCTTCCTCTCCCCGCGTCCTGCCTGCCGGCTGCCTTGCTGAGCACAGTCCAGCAAACTGGAGTTTACAGTCAAGGTATCTGGCTATCTATTCCTCGGGATCTTCTTGTTGTATCATGACCTGTTCCATCGGTTCTCGGCTAACGTGTGGGGAAGATTAGTACGTGGAGAGATATCTGTATTTTGCTTATTAAGAAGTAAATTCCGAAGCGGGCAAGAAGGTAATCTGTGCCAGTTACCGGGGCACACAGCAATCACACGGGAAGCCCGGGTGAATGTCAGCAAGGCTGAGCCGGATTCAATTCTATCCAGCCCGCAGCGGGTGGTCTCATCAGAGAGGGGTTATGGTCACAGCCCCAAGGAAAGCAGTGACTAGGTGACAGAACCAGGCCACCTTGGCTGCCATCCGCCGTCACAAAACCCTATTCCCGAAAGGCAGCTCAGAATGTCCCCGGCGCGTTAGGCGCATCAAGCACACTGCCCGTCGGGCCGAGTCCCCCACCTGTTGGCACGCTCCCCCGGGCTAGGCTTTGGACACTGTCCACGGGCAAGGAATGTGACAGAAGATCATAAATATGCAGGAGAGATGCAGCCAAGACAGCAGAGCCACCGGGCCGCCGCCGGCGGGAGCCGCGGAGCTGGAGCCCGGCCTCGGTCGCCGCGCTGCCAAGGCCAGGCGGGTCGCGCCGGCGCACTCGGGCCACCGCAGTGGCACAAGGGGCCCGGGTCGCGCGGACAGTCACGCCGAGCCCCGCCGCCGCCCTCCGTCCCCCACCGCGGCACCCGGCAGCATGGAGCCCGGAGCGGCGGCTCGAGCCGCAGAGCCGGCCGCGCGCCACGGCGACTGCAGGAAGAAGATGGCGGCGGCCGTGGCGGCGGCCACCGCGGCCTCCCACGCGCCGCTGACGCCAATGGAGCGCGCCGGCCGGCGGGCTGCGGATGGCGGCTGCCCGGGCTCGGCCGAGGGGCGGGGCGAGGCGGCGAGGGGGCCGGCGGGAGGCGGAGGCCGGCCGGGCGGCTGGAGGGAGGTGGCGGGGACAGTGTGTGGCGCTCGGAACATGGCGGGCGTCTGCGACGCGACCGCCCCGGGAGAAGGCGGCGGTGGCGGCGCGGACGGCACCGAGCGGACGGGCCGCGGCGAGGCGGAGCAGCCGGGCGGTGGCGGCCACGGCCCCGCGCCTCAGCACACCGAGACGCTGGGCTTCTACGAGAGCGACCGGCGGCGGGAAAAGCGCCGCGGCCGCGCAGGTGAGGCGGGCGGGCGGGCGGACGGACGGACGGGCGGGCGGCGCTAGGCCGCGGCGGGCTGCCGGGGGGCCGACGCGGGCTGAGGTGGCGGGGACGCCGCCGTCTCCGGTCCGCGCGCAGAGCGTCCGCGACTCAGGTGGCTCCCAAGTCCCCGCGGCTGATGACAGCTCCCCCGGCGGCTTGTGCGCGCGGCCCGACGCTCCCCCGGCCATCCCCGAGCCAGGTGCGTCCCGGGCTCGGCTGTCCTGGTCACCGACTGCTCCCGGCCGGTCTCAACAGTGACAGGCGTCTCTCACTTACGAAAGAGGTCAAAAAATGGGAAGCGCGGAGCTTTCTAGATGATATCCATGCCAAGGTGACTTTTGCCCCTTGTGTTTTATGCGAAGTTGGACCTCGGAAACCTGTTAACTTGCCCTCCGAGTACATTTTTCATAGACTCAGCTGACAGTGTGGTCGTGACCGTGAAGTTGAGTGATTTTCTCAGAAATGTGAGGCACCCCTTAGAATGTTACATGTGGACTTTTACTAAAACTGAAACTTATGCCAGAAGAAACAGTTTTGCCACATTAGAAAATACATACCACTTTAGAGCCCCACCATCCATAAACACTTTAAAGCATACTGTTAAAATGTTAGAATTCCTGTGTATTCTCCGGTCTTAATATTAAAAGAATTTTTAATAGGTTTGGTGTTCATACTGAAGATTTATAGTAAGCCCGGAAGAGAAAGGAAGATTTTGACATGTCTGTTTCATTGGGTATACAAGTGATGACATTTTAATTCTGTCATAGTAAGTCCAAGATCTTGGACAGCAACTTGATAGCATTTCTTCCAGGGGATTTTGAACTAATACAGTGGAACAAGGGCTGTGTTAGCCTCTAGGTCGTGCAGCTTATGTACACATTCAAGTTATCATTCATTATGAGTGTTGAAATTATAGGAGTACCAAAAGACCGAAGGATAGATCCTGACAGAGTTGCTGCTTCTCAGAATTGGACGTAGAATTTTGCATCAGTCTCCATATCTTTGAAAACTTGAGTGCAGGCTGTGCCTTTTTGGGGGGGGGGGGTTCTTGATTAGCCACTAAAAATTTTTCCAGCATTCTTTATTTGGTTTGGTTGTCAGTTAAACACTCACCTGCAAGAGTATTTGCTTTCTGAATTGGCAGGACATAAGTAAGACAAAGTCTTCAATCTCCCAGCTGCTTGTTTAGTTCGACTACTTGACTACTGCAAGCAAATAGATGTGACCAGGTTTCAGTACAGTTTTCGGGAAAGCCGTTACTATTGAAACCTTATGTTGTTTGCATGAAGAAAAAAAAGAATGAAGCTGTGAAGAGCCTTGAACTTGTGAAGTAGACTTTTCTGGGATGGAGCTGGATACTTGGACTTATATAAACTTCACATCACAGTGCACACTTGCTCTTCACCAAGGTGGTACACTGAGCAGAGGATACTAACAGGTTAAAAGCTGGAGTTTTCAACCTCTGGTGACAGAAAGTCCTTACTAGGGAGACATGCAAGCCTTAGCTATTGGGATGGGATGGTCCTTCTTGTTTGTCGCCCCATCAGCCTTGTATAAGGGAAGAGATAGTGGTTGCTCCTGTTTTGGTAGGTGGCATTAAGGCTAGGCAAGCATCCCAGGACCATTCAGTTAGAGGTACCAGCCTCTAACTGAAAACAGTGGTTTTCCTGTGGGGCCCCATGTGAGCCACCCTCTTCTATCCCCTGGTGTCTGTGCTCTAAGATTCAAGCCACTCTCGCTGTTGCTGATGCCTGCCCACCTGTGACTGGGGCTTCATTTAGCAAAGGCATCGCCACTAGAGTAGAAATCTAGGCATTCTTTCTTTGTTTCACCTCCAGCGCTCCTTTCTTCCACTGCTCTGTTATCTGTCTTTTCCTCCTTTCCAAGATAGCATAAACTTGTTGGCTGGGCCAGAGGGCACCACCTAGTGTCCGATTGGAAATATCTCTCCCTGAATCATAGTCTCCTAAGACTGGGTGCTCACACTAAAGTATCACTTGCCCATTCTCTGTAAAGGCTGCTGTGGATTTGCCCTGTCCTCCCCTCAGCAAGCGGGGGCAGTCTTTGCTGTTCCTTTTGAAAGTAATAATCTTGGTGTCTTCCTAACCATCACTTAGTTCCAATGCCCCCTTTATTATTTCCCCAAGGATTCCAGGGCTTTTATTATAAGACATTTATTGGTCAGTCCTAACAGTCTAGGATTCTCTTTAAATGAATATCCACTTAAGATGCTTATCCATACTTTGAGTAAAATAAAATGAAGTATAGTGGTCCTATATCAGTTACATTTTCTTTCTGTTATATTAGTCTATGTGTGTGTGTGTGTACAACCCTAAATATGACATGCATTTATCTGTCAGTTATGTTTTCTTTGTTTCTTCAGACTCTTTGATTCTCAGTGGCGTCTTTACATATATTATCTGACAGATGCTAATTCTCACACTTTAACACAGTTAGAAATGGATACCCTACTCACCTATATGTGATCACTGACCTCGAACTCTGGGAATAGTGATCAAAGATCTGCAGTCTCACCTTGTTCTTTTTACATATTCTTAAATCATTGCCATTTCATGTTGCACTTTTGGACGTAGTATATATCATCCTGCTCCTGTATTGGTCCCTGTTTGACTCATCCGCTAAGTTCTAGATGAGAGAGATTCTATGCAGCTGTTCTTGCCTTTGGGAATTGATACCCAGCAAGTCAACTTTGAACTAAAAATTAGGTAATCTGTGTTCTTAGCTTGGTTCAGTTGTTGACTTGCTTTTGTTTAGACTGCTTGCTTAATCCACTTGGCTCTGCTTCCTCAAGCCACTACTAAATAATATCTAACTGAGCTGTTTTACTCTCCATGGAGATCTAACAGAGGTTTGGTGTAAGATAAACATGATACCTGCCCAGGGGCATGAAACAGTTCCCAGTAAGGTGAGTGTAGGAGGTGTGCAGATAAGCATTGCTTGTAAAATGAGAATCCTGATGTCAGGTGTGGTCAGCAGTGTTGTTTGTGACCCAACAGTGCTGTGACTGTTGTTCTCTTTGTAATGGTGACTTGACTTAGGGAACTCACCCTTGTCTGATTTGTTTCATCTCCTTGCCTTTGCACTTTGCGCTGTTTCTCCACAAGAAGAAAGAAAAGCCAACTGATTTTCAGTTCTCAAAAAGAGTGTCAGTGGGATTCAAACCATTCATATTCCCTGAATCCTATTGTTTGTGACTTGAAAATTTAAACACTGCAGGATTATTAATACACTTCACACATTTTTATCCTTAGCATTAAGATATTGCTTTCATTTCTGTATCTCTTCCATCTTTAGACATTATGACCGTTCTCTTTGTGTGAGACAATAAACATTTTTTAAAGGGTAGGAAACAGAAATAAGAACTTGAGTTCAAAACCAGCATGGGTTACATAGAGAGCCATGTAACAAAGCAAGCAAGCAAACAAACAAAAAAACAGCAAAAAGCCTCAAGAAAAATAGTGTGGAAAATGTTTCTTTTTCTTACATTTGACTTAGTAGGGCAAAACTCCTATTTTATTGTCTCTTAGAAAAGTTGATCCCTAGTTTCCCTGTGCATAAGTATGCCTGTGTGTAAGAAAGGTATGTTTACTATTTCAGGTATCTGTTGAAACTTTATAAACACTTCCTTATTTAAGGCTGGAGGCATGCATACTTAGTTTCTTAACAGTCAACCAGTATTCCTTTCCAATTTGCTTTTTTAATGTGCATTGCTATTTTAAGAAAGATATATTTAGACATATTGCTGAATATATAAATATATGTATGATTACTCATTACTTTTAATAAATACTTTTTGATCTAGTTTCTAAATTAAGCTGTCTCTGATGAACAAAACTAATAGTTCTTGTGTCGGGGAGTGAGAAAAAGAATTTATACATTTATTTCTCGATTTAAAATGCAGGATTACAGAGCAATTCTGTGATAGGAGGTGACTATTGAATAAAATACACTGGTGGAATTGATTTGGACTTATGATTGGTATTAGTTTACTTTTATTAATGTTCACAATCTTCTAACATAAACACACTTATAATTGAATAGTAAAATAGCTCTATTTTCAAAAGAGTATACCCTAAGTCCTAGTACAAGTAAGCTCAAATAGGTCTGTAGAACGCTAAAGAAAGTTTAGCAAAGCCGCAGTACAGGGCACTGGATATCTCAGTAGGAAGTACAGACTTCTTCAGGGAGTGAAGGGGGGACGATGCTCTACAAGCAGCAAGGCCGCCATGACACGTCAGGTTCATGGCAGTGGAGGCCCCTTCCTTCGACATAGATCAAAAGGAGATTCTGGCCAGGCTTTTTGTCTAAACTAGCAGTGAGTGGCTGCATGTAATAACAGTGAGAAGAGAGAGCATGCTGCGTTTGCAGGTCAGAGCTCTGGGCTTCGCTCTCACATTTGTCCTCTTAAGGGAATCGACAGATCTCTTGGTTTTCTCAGTTTCTTCATTTGTATTATGTTGTAACAGTTATGAGTGCTGTTATCTCCCTTTTTAGTTATAATTGTTATGAGAATTATATGAAGCCGTGAATACAAGACATTTGTAGAAGAATTCCACCCCTTAAAGAGGGTCTTATCTCCAGGAATTGATGATAAGCAGGCAAGATAAGGCCTTCAAGCTATTTTATACCATGAAACTTGGATTTTTAGTCAGCATTATTTTACTGTACCTTTAAAAACCACTCTCCAGCCTATTTGCATGGTGTTGGTGGTATGCAAAGACAACTGTTACACTTAGAACTTGCTCAGGATAAATATTAGCAAAATAAGCTACATGGTACTTGGTTTATGGTCTTCTAAGGGAGTCCACTGGCTTAGTGTAGCTCTACAAAAGTGAACTCGGGTTCTATGGAAGTACAGAGAATGTGGACTGATGGGGTACCAGATTTTTCAGGAGTACAGCTGTCTGTTTTAAAAAGCACTTGAGAGCTGGGCATGGTGTCTCATGTCTGTAATTCTGTTCATTTGGAAACAAAGGCAGGAGGATCACTGCAAGTTTGAGGCCAGCCTGATTTGTATGTGAGTCCTGGACCAGCCAGCCATAGCAAGTCCCTGCCTCAAGAACAGTACTAGAATGTGTAATCTAGTAGTGAAAGCACCCACTTGGCCAGAACTCTGAATCTGGTCTAGGGTTTGGTGCAACTTGGAGACACCCTTTGCTTCTCTGTGCCTTGGTTTTCTTGATCTGCAAGGCAGTCATAGCCATATAACTGGTTTTACAGTTTTTAGTGCTTGTAATTAAAGAATACTCTTTTATTGTTCAGTTATTAGCATTATAGAATCTAACTTGGGGCAGGAGAGATAGCTCAGCAGTTAAGAATCTACCTTGGTGCTTATCACTAAGTACTTGTATTTCTAGAGATAGATTCCTCACACAGTCGCCTAGTCCTCTTTTGTATTTATAATATAGTTGAGACATTTTTGTTTATGTCATAACCTGTTTTTGAAATGTAATTAAGTTAGGTTATATTGTTTGTTAAATGCACTTGTTGTGGTACTTTTCACCATAGAACCAGGCCTGCATAAATAGTATTAATAGATATTAGGTAACAACCACACCAGAAATGGTTAATATTACAGTTAGCATGTAGACATGACACTGCATTATGTCTTGTGGTTTTCATCTGCTTTCACTCAAGTGCTTCAGGCAAGACAGAAACAGGTGTTACAGAACTGGCAGTAGGCTCAGTTTCCGCTTTTGAAAATTGAGATCTGTGACTTGACTGTCATGAGCCTCAAAGGTGGGAGAGCTGGTGCTGGAGCCCCTTCTCCAGCTGACCCCACAAAACACTGAATATGGCAAAAATGACCCCTGCAGTCACCAAGAAAGACACCACTCTAGCGGAGAATTTACCCGATAAATAAGGTTTAGTTTACCCTTCTAAAATATAAAACTATTGCATAATGACCTATCTGTGTGTCTCTTTACCACAGATTTCAGACTCCTGCTATGCCCAGCTTCTTTCTCTTGCTGGGGACAGGAAACCTCCCATCCCCACAATGGTACCTTGGCACTGCTCTTGGGGTTTAGGCACAGGCCCCTCGGGCTGTTGTTTATAATCATGATCACTTAGGACCATACATGGGCCAAGGCAAGAGAGTCTTTGCTCCCTGCATCCTCTCTAGTCTTAACAGTGCCAGCCCTAGCACCCAGCAGCTCCTCTCTTCTAGGGACTTATATTCTCTTCACTTTGCTTCTGAGTTGATTATCTTTTAAAAGTGCACCATTGGTGTTTATTAGATTCCACTTATGTTAGACGGATTAATCTTTTATGTTCAGATAGGTCATCTTTAAGTATAGTCAGTATTAAATAAGATTGGATGGAAAGTGCCAAAGTTGGCACTGAACTCAGTATAAGCATAGCTTTCCTTAGTGTTAGCATTTCTCTCATGCAGCACATAGGGCTTTCTTTCTCTCTTCAGATTTTACATAGTTCTAGAATGTTTCTAGCCCAATGTTTTACTCTGTGGATGAGGTTATCTTGTGTCTTTTACTCGGAGCATTTGTTAATACAAGCAGAAGCATTTGTATCTTGACTTAGCTGTAATACCCTGAAAAGGGAAAGCAGGATGCCCAGGGTGCACAGTGACCCTGCCTGCCCTGTGCCAAGCACCTATGGGGAAATGATGGCACTTCTCCCCATGAAGTCTTACGCTCCCCATTTCAATCCCAGATACTTCTCAGTATATGACCAATTCTGCAAATACATTATTAGTCTGATGTTCAGAGGCGTTAAGCAGGATAAACCTGGCATGTGACGTGAAACTCCTGGAGCAGGGCTTTGTCCAGTGCTGACAGAAGTAAGCTCTGTAAGGCATACCGTTCAGACCCCAGCGAAGCCCGCTCCTGCCTTCCCAAGGGCTTTTTGAGGCTCCCTTTGACTGTTCCCACTTGCTAATGCTTCAGTACTACATTGGTTAGATCACAGAGTAAGCTCAGAGATGAGTTTGAGCACATTGCTATCCTAGAAGAAAGTCTGGCCTCCTGCAGAGAGAGATGGTGACAGTCACATACATGGTTTGGAGAAATTGCTGAGGTGCCATTGGAAGCATGGTACATGAGAAAGAGCTGGCTCAGGCATCTCACCTCAGCTGCTTACCTCAAATCCAGCAGAGACTTTGCCCTTGTCTTTCTCTAGTGGTATAAACTGGATGAATTTATGTTGGAGGGGCGGAGGAAACTTGGACAAGTGAACCAACCCTAGGAAAGGAAGGTTCTGCTTTGTGTAGCTAGTGACTTCAAGGCAGTGGGACGCTTTCACTTAACAGGAATAAGCTTTTGTGGGGAGAGGTGCTACTATTGACCCACTTCTGTCGGATCTCCAGGCTCCCCTGAGCAGGAGGTGGCTGACCTGTGTCTGCCTGACTGCTCTGACATCGTGCTAGACTGGAAGCAGTGCCTTCTGGGACTCCAGGCTGCTGAAGTACCTCTGATGGCAATTTCACAGCTACTCTTTCCTCTGTGTCACCACCGTCCAGGCCTATAGCACCATGAGACCCAGGACTGGTCAGAAAGATGTTGTTCTGACTTCTCTGGCTCTCAGTAACCATCCCTTCTGCTCCTGTGGTGTTTTTAGTTTATGCAACAGCAGCCATTCCCCCAACAACACCCTCCAGTCATTTGGGCATCCCTCTCTTGTAAGCATAGATCTTGGACTTGTATTTTCTATGTGTAGTACCTGTGGCCCCAGCTTACCTGTGAGTTCCTTAATAAACACTGTTCTTTTTGTTTTGTTGTTTTCTTTTTTTCCATAGAACTTTCATTATTGAGGTTCCTCAGTGCTGAACTAACAAGAGGGTACTTCCTCGAACATAACGAGGCCAAGTACACAGAGCGAAGAGAAAGAGTGTACACTTGTATGCGAATACCAAGAGAATTGGAAAAGGTACTTTTTTTTTTCATTTCCAAACATCAATTGAAAGTTTTAATTGTGAAAAACAAAATGTGAACAGCTTCCATTGAGTTTTTAAGATATTGGAAGTAATGTGGTAAGTAATTGAACATGTTTGGTGATATTGGATTGCTTGTGTGGGAAGTAGCTCATGACAGCTAGTTTTAGTGGGAGGTGAACGTTAATTTTGCTGCTTACTAAGCTTAACCATATTTTCGTCTTATCCCAACAGCCTTATCCCAGGATTTACTCTCCTTCTCTGAGCTCTTCTAGCTCCCTTCAGTTGTGTGAGTTCTGAGGTTTTAATTTCTTAGAATAGCCACATGTTTGAAGACATAAGTGACAAACCTTCAAAGGAAAAAGATGATTTGCTTTTACCCTTGTCACAGAAAGTGTTCTGTCTAAGGTAAACACAGAAAAAACAAGACCAAGTCTTTGGTAGCTCTTTGCAAGGTCAGTCAGAGGACAGGAAAGCCCTTTTCCTCTGGTGCTGCTGGGTTAGGAGTCCTGAGACATTCTAGATCTTATTACAGGGAAAGATGAGCTGATTCGTGGACTTTTATAGTAACAGAAGGCTTGTCAAGTCTAGCTCCTTCTTCAGAACTATGCTTCGTATTAGAATGGCTGTGGGAAACTCCCCAGCTTGCTCTCTCAGTGCACTGTGAAGCAAGAGGTGTGGCAGGCAGTGGGAAGCCACCACCCAGCCGCTGTGGCTGAGGAGTAGCAAATGTGGACAGCCAGTTTCGGCAGCTTTCCTTTGTTTAGGGTCTTGGTACAGTGCCACCTGCTAAAGATGAAGGGAGTCAGTACTGGGACCCAGAAGAAGGCCCGGGAGGAGGCGGGGGCCCTGTGCATGTGATCAGCACGTTATTGTTACTGTCTTTCTAAGGAGGAGGATGGAAGAGCCTGAGGAAGAGATGAGGGAGGGGAGTGGGAGGGCTCTACAGCATTCCTTCCTCCACATCGGAGTAGCTGCATTTTCTGTTTGGGGATTCAACTAAAATTATGTCTGGGGCTGGCAAGGTGAGACAGATGTTTGCTATGGGAAGAAAGTAGAAGATGAAACCAGTTTTATGTTGGAAAACAATGTTAGGTTGCCTTTGAAATCTCTCTGTTTCTCTTTTCCAGTGGTAAAGCATGGGTTGGAAGTGTTTGGACATGATACAGAGGCAGGGTGAAGACAGTCTGCTGACATCTAGTTTGTCTGGGATAAGACCAACATATACCCAGCTAGCCTTTGCCTTCCATGTGGGGAAATTCTCTCAGTGAGCAATCCCTGACCCAGTTTTTCTCTGGAGAAGACAAGGAGGGATTTGTCTGCAAACACATCCAAACTTCATGAATGCAACCAGGGTCTTCCTTTATAGTGAGGCTATACGTATCTGATCTCCTTGTTACAACATCCATTAATTCAGTTCTTCATCAGAGCAAGCACAGGGGCACATAATTTACTTCATAGCTACTTTGAAGTGGCAAGCAGATGTCATGTTTCCTGATGAGGAAATGCCCATAGGTCTTGATAAGACTTAATACAAGCAAGTGTTCTTAAACTAGGATCCATTGTGAGACCATTGTTGGGTTAAGTAATATATGTGATGTTTTACCATCAGGATTTGCCTTTTGCGGAAAGAATCTGTACCAGGAGCTGGTATTTTTTTATGAAACTGCATTTATTTCTATGAAGGTTTATAGTCTAACATCCCAAATTCAATTAACATTCATTTCTCAGTTGTTTTGCCCTCCATGAAAGGGACTGCCGACTGTAGGTCTTGTAGGATACACAAGGAATGCTTCAGAAGAGGGTCATATTTTCTGTTGATTACACTTCTCCTTGATGGCTAACATAGAATTAGGAGCTCCCTTAAAGCCTGGGAGACCCGTTGGCATTCAGGTTAATCTAAACAATTTTCTCCCTTTTAGTTAACATTGTCTATACCAACATATAATACCTATGGGCCACTTTCTTGATAAATGCTGTATTTTCACATAACGTTATCTACGAGAGGTACTTGACAATTAATGAGCTCTGCTTCTCTGAAGTCTGCAAGGCTTATAAACATCACTGTTCATCCTTTAAGGTCAAGGGATATCAGCTTAGTATCTTTTACCAAACCCGTGAACTAATGTGGAACAAGATAATCCTAGAAACTGTGTGATATGTCAGTGGATTAACAGCTTTACACTTGACATTGTGTAAAGATAAGTCCTCTATTTCAAACAGTGCTTCCAGCTTCTCATTAACACTCCTCTTCAAACTTCTTTCCCGGCATAAGACCCCGGCATTTTATATTTCCTTGGTCTAGGTGGGGATTTATTTTTTGTTTGTTTTCACACAAGCCTCCCAGTCCTGCCCAGCTTTGGTTCTCTTCTAAGTTCTGCTCCTGGATGCTTATGGTCCACTTTGGGAGTGTCATTCTGTGTCCCATGAAACTGAGGAGACTGGCATTCTCTTTGAGAAAAAGCAAGAGGCAGAATAGTGCAGTAGCTTTTAAGCCAGGCTGCCTGCGGCTGCTGGCTTCAAACCCCAAGCCCACAGACTTTAGCTCTCCTTCCTGTGCCTGGCGTTCCTGCTTTTGGATCAATTACATGTTTAACCCTGTAGAAGTGTTTTAAAATTTTTTTACCAGTCCTTTATTTACTTTAGCACCTTCTGGGGAATGTCCTGCTGTGGAACAAAATGAATTTCTTCATCCACAGGTTTTATTCCTAAGCTCTCAGGACACAGCAGGAGGTGCGTTGGAGAAACTTGGTTCTGAGACTCCCCTGGGTCCCTTCTTTATCCCCTCTTTGATTTCATTAAACATGACTTTGCCAACTGTGCAAGATGATTGTCTGTCAGCCTTTCTCAGATTGCTAACCACAGGTAGAAAGAGAACCTAGGAAAAGTTGCCAGGCTCTCTTGGGTAAACCTGATCTTCTTCATGAAGGATTTACCAGACAGGCACACTAGGTAACATGGCCTACAATTGGTTCATAGTTAACAGCTTTTGAAGGTTAGCTTCAGTGGGATGCAACTAGAGACTAGTTGAGGACACAGTCCCATGTCTTCAGCCGTATGGGGCAGTTTCTGTGCTGACTTCCAGACTGAGATCACTTCTCATCCGTATTTTGGTAGGAGCAGGTACTAGGGAATAATTTACTGTGTTTCACATATGCAATTACCTCTGTCTAAGCACTAATGTTGTTTCTTTGAACCTAAAATTGCAATAAATAATTTTACAAAAATTAAAATTCTACAAAAAAATAAGATAAAATTACAAAAAACCTGCCCATCATAGTGTTTTCTAAAATTCTCTGACCAATTTATGTTCTCTCTTAAGTAATTATAGTATATCCTAGGCATTTGTAGTAGCATAGAAGTAAATAAATATAAAACTCATATTTTATCATGGTGGGAAGTATTGAATACAGAAGTAATTATAAAAGAAGATATAGAATAGTAAGTGCCATTGAGCTATAAAAGTAAAATGCTGCTAAGAGTTTCAAGAAGGGAAAGTTTGCTTAGAAGGTGAACTGCAGAAGACTTGGGCAGGGCCTGTGAAGGAAACTCATATGGCATGGCTAGGAAAAGAAAGAGGTAGATTTTGAACAAGCAACATAGGGTGAGTGTTCATGCACCAGGTGGTGTGCTGTGAAGGTGCTGGAAAGAGTCAGAGATGGGCACATGGGTGTGAACAAGGAGCCACCAAGAACTGAAAGATGGGCTTTATCTAGACTCTGTCTTACAGTTAGGCTAAAGAGTTTAGAATGTAGACTTCAGGAGTAGACTACCCAAGACGTATTCCTTAAGAGTGTTCTAGCTGTGTGGAACAGAAAATTGGGCTAGTAGAAGTTTACTCGAACATATTTCTCTCCTTTCTTTTGAGCAAATGTAGCTGAAGGAGGTCTCAGTTGGTCTAGAAGGCTAGTGCCCTTCTCCAAGACCATGTTTTACCCAGTCTTCATTGCTTAGCTTTTGGTCTTCCTGCTTACTGATTTTAAATAGAAAGTTATCAAAAACAAATTATAAAATCTACACTTTAATAAGATTAAAAAAGAAAAAAAGAGGGGCTGGTAGTGTCACCTTTTGCCTGACCTTCCTAGAGAATTAAAGCTTTCCCAGAACTCTCAATACTTCCATTTGTGTCTTATTGGCTAATTAAGCACATGGCCACCCCTAACTGTACGGAGGACTAAGATGCTGAATGTTGGGTTTTAGCAACAGAGAAAAGGAATAAGAACAATTACTGAGTTAGCCTCAGAGCTCTGCTTCTGAAAAACTAGGACAGCAATAGTCGGTGTGGACTGGAAATACGCAAAGAAAACTCATGACCCTTCCTTATGTTTCATATCTTTCTATAAAGCATTATCTACAATTGATTTATTTACCTTATGTCATTTATTCCTCGTGTTGGACATATGCAAATATAGGTTACAATAACTATTATTGTGAAACTTTTTCAAAAATTTTTCATTTATGAACCTTGCCTGTTATGTAAAGTTAACCTAAATGAAAGTATTTTTTAACCTTGTAGTTTTATGCTTTGAGGAGTGTTTCATTGTTACCATACTTTGTACATTATAGTTTTTAAATATATCTTATGCAAACTAACCCCACTGTTTAATCTCCAATGCAGCTACTATTTTTAAGGAATCGTATCAATCACCTATTTATTCTTTCTTCTTTCTTTCTTTATTTGTTTGTTTATTCTGTCATACTAAGGATTAAATGCACGGAGGTATGATGAGGCAAGTGCCCTACCACTGAACCACCTCCAGTCCTGTTTTTGTCATCTGAAAACCAGTCTCACTAAGTTGCCTAGAGTGGCCTAGAACTTATTGTGAAGTCTAGACCAACCTCAAAATTGAGATTTTTCCTGTCTCTAGCAAATCTCACAAACTTTTATGAGCCTTAAATTTATCAGATTGTAGGATAAAAATAATGATATTAATGTGTGTTGGTCAGTTTTTTGACACTGACATAAACAACCAAGGAGAGATAAAATTTACTTGGT